AAACAAGACTTCAAGACCACGGCCACACAGCCCGGAAGACCCACACCAGCCATCGTATGCCGGCCGCGAAAGCCTTCGACAATACAGGTTGTTTATTTATTTATTTTATTTATCGTATTTATATAGCCGCCCATCTCACACAAGGTGACTCTGGGCAGCGTACCACAATTAAAAAGTAAATACATAAAAAACAGTTACACATAAAAAACTGTAAAAACATACAAAATAGGAGGGGATAAAATTAATCAGGGAGCCATCGTAAAATCTCCCTGGTCCCCTGGAAGCCCCAGGCCCAACCACATAGCCAGGTCTTGAGGGACTTGCGGAATGTTAAGAGGGATGGGGCTAATCTCACTTCCAGGGGGAGAAGATTCCACAAGGTGGGCACCACACCAGAGAAGGCCGATCTCCTGGGACCCGCCAAATGTAATTCTCTAGCAGATGGGATCCACAGCATGCCTTCTCTGCCAGATCTGATGGGACAGGCAGATGTAATTAGGGAGAGGTGGTCCCTCAGATAACCCAGCCCGATGCCATGAAGGGCTTTAAAGGTCAAAAACAGCACCTTGAATTGGACCCAGAAACAAACTGGCAATCAGTGCAGTTCACGAAGCAGAGGTGTAACGCGTACCACCCTAGGGGGAAATATAACTGCCCGCGCCGCTGCATTCTGCACCAGCTGAAGCTTCTGCATACTCTTCAAGGGCAGCCCCATGAAGAGCGCATTACAGAAATCCAAACAGGAGGTGAGCAGGGCATGAGTCACAGTGATTAGGTCCTTCTGATCTAGGAATGGATGCAACTGGCACACAACATGAAGCTGTGCAAAGGCCCTCCTATCCACGACTGCCACCTGCTCTTCGAGCAGGAGTCATGAGTCCAGGAGGACCCCCAGATTGCACACAGGGTCTGTCTGGGGCAGTGCAACTCCATTCAGTACCAAAGATGGCATAAATCTAGCACCAGAAGGCTTGATCTCTTTCTCTTCCAATTTTGTATAATAGGGTGTCTTGCCAACCAGTAAACAAGAGATGTTTTGCCCTGCTGGAATGAGAAGGCTATACTCACCTGGGTGTCTATTTTGATCACAGCAATGTCCAGTTTATGATCAACATCTTTGATTTGGGCATCCAGTTGTTGGCCCGTTTTGAGCTCTACTTTGATCCTCGGCTTGTTGGTGAGAACGTGGGCATTGGTGAGAATCAACCCATCCTCAGATACAATGAAACCTGAGCCACTGGAGACCAGTACCTCTTTCTTCGTGTAGGGCGCCCTGACCCAGGATGATAGACAACAACCATAATAAATCCACTATGGCCAACTTGGTCTTATGCCAGTGTTTCTCAACCTTAGCAACTTTATGAGTGGACTGGGGAATTCTGAGGGTTGATGTCCACTCAGTCAGTGATGCCAAGGTTGAGAAGATCTGAATAATTAATCTGGAGAATGGTCAGTTGGTCTTTCTATGGAACTGTTTAGAAGCAGTCAAACTACAAGTTAGTTGTAGTACTTTTATCTCTTCCTGAACAAGGGAGAAAAGCAGAAACCCAGCAGCTTTCTAGAGTGATTCAATCCAAACAAGGAAAAACCAGCTACAACTGCTTGGTTAACTACTATGATATCATCAACACCTAATCTGAATAGCATGTTTACATAGGAGTTTCCTTCAAATCTTTTATTTATTTGTAATGCATGAATCCAATGGTGAATACACGAATGAGCAGTTTTTAAACACAGTCGAAACACAGTCGAAAGGCTCACGCTTTGCCTGAAGCTCAGGAAGAAAAGTAAAATTGGGAACTGAACCAGCTTTTTTTGCTGGAATGTTCGTATGCCATAAATGTTGCAAGATCAAAATAAAGCTTCATTTGAACTGTTAGGACATTATTTCTCAACCTCAAGAACTTTAAGATGTGTGGACTTCAACCCCCAGAATTGGAAGTTGGATCCAGACTATCCAGGCTGGATCCAGACTATCACAAGAGACCCCTGGAATTAACAAAATAAAGTAATCATCACTAACCTACATCTTACTGACTTCAGTGGGTCTATTCCAAGCCTGCCTAAACAGAGATTCAGATAACATCTTTCAGTCTTAATTTTTTGTAAATTAAATACAAGCAGGTAACAGGTGATAAGAAAATCCAAGCAGCCTTATTTAAACCAGGTTTTAATGCTGGTGGGAACACGTATTTCAATATTTGGTTTAAATCTTTTTTTTTTTTCTTCTTTGCAGAACTGCTGTAGCTGCAACTTCCAACTTTTAAAAGATTGGCCAGGCAGGTGTCAAAGGATCTTTAAGAGGAAGAATAGAGGGCAGATAGAAGGTCATTTTCAGTATCTAGACAGAGTTCGGTTAATGTCAGTACCTGCGGAGACTGATCAATTTCATCTAGAGGGAACTTGGTCAACATCACTACCTACGGTTTCTCTTACCTGCGAAAGAGTTCCAGGTGGACAACAGCAGGAGCAATTTTCTCAACCACGTCAGCAATAAAGTTAAATTTGTTCCTCGGGCTATTGGGGTCCACAGTAACTATAAAACAAAGTCTCCCCCAGTTCATCGATGCATCTTAAAGCCAGTGAGATGCAATGTTAGAACACATGAAGATTTTGGGTTTAGTCCCCCTCACCCCCCTTAGAAAACCATTGCATCACAAGCGATGCTACCAAATTAGATTAAACTGGATGGACAACAGATATATATAATGTAAGGAGGTTCCGTATGTATCTTTTCCTAATCTGGTGTCATCCACAGACATAGATAGGACTCCAATTCCCATCATCTCTAGGCTGGTGAAGAGACAGCAATGTTCTTTACTGCACCCCCATGCAACAGAGACCACAAACCAGATATCATAGCACATACAACTCCTTCCTGGCTAAGTTAACTACTCCATGTTTGCTTAATCCCAGTTTGCTGCATAAGCCACAATTTGCTGGGTTCGCACAGTATAGAATGTAGTGAGTAGGCGACAAGCAAATATACTGAGCCTAGACCATGGTCTAGAAATCACTCAACTGAGAAACCACACCTAATAAGATCGTAGTTTGTTTGGTTCGGATTTACCGCACTGCTCTGGTTCTCTGAGTTGGTCTCTCCCAATCGGGCTGCCCTGCAAGACTGATCTGACTGCTCCTCCACTAGGGCTGGTATAAGGTGATATGTGATATATCATGACAAAAGGTGATTGGCTACTTTGCCTTAGTCTGATTAATTAATCCAGTTACTGTGATTTCTACACTATGGATTTGGTGAATCCAGCTTGTGGTTCATTCAATCGCACTTAACTATGAATTAACCAGGGCAGTGGCTTCATCAAGCCCCAGTGTCATCATTGCCCATCACAAACAACATCCTTGCACAACCGAGGGGCATTTTAAAAAGGGCTCTCCCCAGCCAGCCCTCTCTTCCCACCACCTTTTGGATCAAGGAACGCTGCCAGCCAGAGTTCGTAGCCTATCCTTCCAGCTGCCATTTCAGCCGGAGTCTGGCCACCCGCATGTGTAAACGGGCCTGGGGTGGGCCAGCTTGCCTGACTCCGGAGGGGCTGGTTTCTCTTCCCAAGGGAAACAGGGACTGGGGGTTTCATCGCCTACGCGCGGCCCATGTGGAGGTTTGGGGAAACCAGGTTCCTAGCCAAGCCTTCTCCTCTGCCCCCCGCCCTGCTGGGCCCCGCACCCACCTGCCTCTCCGCAGCTTCCCTTATGGACGGCGACGACGGGCAGCTGGTAGCCCGGGCGGGACTGCCGGTTCTGGACGCGCAGCTGGCAAAGGCTGCGGTAGGTGCGTCCGTCGCTGCCGCAGACGGCCAGGGCCCCCTCGGCGCACGAGCAGGTGCCCCGTCCGCGGTGGCAGGAGAAGCCCGCGGCGCAGAGGCCGCCTGGCGCGCACGGCTGGCCCTCGCCGGGCGCGAAGTCCCGGCAGCAGCCGCAGCG